AAGGCTTGATCCCCGATGAAGGCGCAGCTCAAAACATTCAGCTAGATGTCCTGCTGATCTGGAATACGCTGATGATATTATCCCTGAGTAGTGCTTGAAGCAAGCTCTGTCTCCTGACGGCTTTCGTATGTGCCATACCTGCCCTCTTCCTTAACGCCAAAAAGTTAAAAGTTGTGAGAAAACCGTCCGGCACAGCTGATTTACAAGCAGAACAGAGAGATGACAATTTTAAGTTGACCTACGGAACCTCGGTTCCATCCTCTTCAGCGATTGTGCCATCCATGCAGAGCTAAATAAGAGGATCTTCCAAGCTACGAATGCTCTTAGATACTTATCCAATATTTCACCTGAGAAAGAAGTAACTCTTGCGACAAAGATCAGCCTGCACCATGTTATTCTCAGATCAGTGTTGTTGCACGACATGGAGACAGCTGTTCTACCGATGGAGCAAGAATAATGATTGAAGCGAATGCAGTAGCGTTGGTGTCAAGGTATCATAAAAATTGAATGACAGGATCACGTAAGGAATGACTACACTCTTCTCCAAGACAGGTGACATCAACAGACGTGGAGACTAAGTAAAGGATGTTCACCCTGTTAAAAAAAAAACTGGTTCAGCATAAACCACTTACTTCAGCCCATTAGCGTGCCGTGTGAGAACCGAAACCATATGGACGTCGACCAGAAGCAATCATACGGCATGGAGCAAGGTGGTAAAGGCAGATCAACTTTCAGAGAGGAATGTTTCTTTCTGTGATGCAATAACCGGTTATGCTTACTGAACAGAAGTTCTGAAAAATTACTATTATAGTGGGTATTGCATACCGGAGAGGTTCTGCTTATGAAACGTCTGGAATTAATTATCTCAACAAGCACGCATTCAGAAAACATATATTCAAGCCTAGGGTTAAACCCTCAAGTAACGTGAAATTTTGAATGCAATAGCTATGAATAAACTTATCCATACATGCTCATGTACATGCTAGTTGTATATGCGTAGACTAGAATATGTACGGATTAATTTTAAGAATTAAGAACGTTTGCACATAGGTTCTTTTATCTTGGGGCGCATTTGCTGTGCGGTTTGTGTGAATTACCTATGAACTGACCTGTAAGTCGTACAGTTCAATGTATAAAATATCTGATTTTGTGCCATACCCTAGACTCCAGTGATGGATTCAACGCAGCAATGTCTTCGATGATACAAATAAAAACAACTGAAGTTTTAATAGAATCACCTTTGCATATCTCTGCTAAATAAAACGGAGTATGTATTGGCTGCGCTGCTTCGTTTGATTCATTTGAGTCATGGAATTATACATCGCTTAGCCCAACTGGTCCTTTGTGATTCCTCTTAATTTATGTATTGTAACATTCCTGCTTTAACGTGAATAACTGAAATTGGAATACGGTACGTTATACTGAACTTTGCCAGAGCGCCTTAGCTGTTTGTTCTGTTTGTGTTCGGTTTGTATCCTGACGATGAGAACTGTACTGATGTTCGAAATGTCGGCTTAGAATACTGAAATATTGTCGTTCTTGTTCGTGGCAGCACGCAGCGTGCATTGAATATTTCTCATAATGATGAAAGATCGTTGTTCCTTGTGGGTGCTTGCAAGCGCGTTTATCCATTTCAGCTCAAGAAATGACTCAAGAAATTCGAGATGCAGAAGAATTGTGTCGTTGTAAATGCATTCCATCAGCGCGCTTGTCTTGAACCTATCGCAGTCTCGCTGCAGTACTCTTAGTAACGGATGTATAGCGTTATTCAGCAGGTATGATATGAGTATAAACCAGAATATTCCATGCGTGCGAAAAAACGCTGTCCGCCGCCTATCAGAATTACCGTATGAGAGATACGGCGACGCAAATACGAATCTACACGATCGTGCTGTAAAAACCTGTTTCAGCTGGCATTTCTTTTTGAGTGATCGACGAGTGAGTATAAGTAAGGTTAGCGATAGCGAGCTCTTAGAGG